TGCCTGGGACCAAACACAGGGCCAAGAGGACACATTTATCCCCTCCACAGACAGCCAGGTGAGACATGGAGGTGAGGTAAACTGTAATACTTGGGATCCAGAGATCTTTCTGTAGCAGATACTTTTAGCACTGTAAATGTAGCCTTAGTTGTGCAAATTTAGGAAGTTAAAATCTTTGTCTGAAATCTTTCAAATGCACATAGCTTCCTCTGGGTAAAGGAACTTACATCAGGAGCATGAGCTTATTAAAATGATGGTTCCTAAATTAGGTAGACTCCATGATACTCATGGAGTTTCCTGACTTTTATATTTTTTAAAGCATGGTTGTGTAACTTTCAAATGCCACTGGTCTACAGAGTACAACAAATAAACCAATTGCAGCACCTTCTTTCACTAGATCAGTTCAGACTAATAAAAGTAACTACGAGGAAGAAGATTAATTGTACATTGAACACACTTCCTGGAATGCACTTGTGACAGCATCCCCCCAGCAGCTCTTGAGGACTACTGATATATGTGAGTGACATCACCCTGCCTATGCAATCCAGTCCTAACCTCCCTGTGATGAGCCTTGTTTTAAGCCCACTGCCAAGTATATGAGGCTTGGTAATTCAATAGTACCATGACAGTTTTTTTACAGTATGTAATTTACAGAGTTTTAAGCCCTCTGTCTTCATGAAGTAGTTACAAGAGAAGCCAAGCAGATGAGGAAAAGGTGTCTAAATTAAGCAACGGATTAGTACAGTTAATTAAAAAAATTTGAGGAGGAGAGGTGGTTAAATGATTTGAATCTTGAATGTTATGTCCTTCAATGGGATTTAAAGAAAATAAACATTTAACATAGGTCAGATAAATAACTACCTGAAAGTGTTTGCTTGTTTTCTCTGACTGTAATGGGACGCCCGAGGTAGTTAGCTCAGATATAGGTGCCTACAGTATAGGTATCTAAATTTGGATGAGATGAATCCTACCTCTGGTGCCGAAATGCCATGTAGAGCAAACATTTAGATGGCCGATATGCAGGTAGTTGGAGATTCCAGTCTGTGAAAGCAAATTGAAAAACTATATACGAAGAGCTTTTAGTTTGCTTCCCCTTTTTACCATCCCCAAGGGAGATGACAATAAGTATATTTAACAAGGGGAGTAGGAAAGATCTGGCTCCAAGAGCTCTCAGAGCACATCAGCCTTAGGACAGGAGCCAAGTTATCAGTCTCCACAGGCCACACGCCGCACAAAGGAACCAAGGAAGTCTTTGTGTGATAATTATAGTCTAGAACTGACCTCTCTGGGGCTCTACTTCTCTTTTTGCTTTGTTTAATTCTTGCTAATATTTTATTGTTTACCTTAATAGAATAAAATATGTATTTATGTTCTTAATTCGTATCTAGTGACCTGATAGATACTGTGTACTCTATTGCCTTGGGAATGATGAAAGCAATTAGGAGCTATTAGATTATTTTCAGGATTTCCTATACCATACACAGGGTAAGAGTCCCAAGGAGTCCACAGCAAATCATGCACACATCACCAGGAGATGAAAGACATGTGACTAGCTGCCAGACTTTTGTAAGGAGTGTGTCTTGGCAAGTGTTGGCTCAATAGGTTGTCAATCAGCTAGCAGGGGAAGACCAGACACCTGGGGTCACTCTGAGACAGGTAGAATGGTCTTGCTTTGTCTGGTGATATAAAGCTTCAAGAGTGGTTCTTGCTGAAGGAACACCATAGCTAATTTGTTAAATCAAATGGAAACACAGCAAGCCCCTTATAATGCCATAAATCATTTGCAGTTAGAAGAGAAATGTAAAAGTCTTTTATTACCAGAATGAAAAAAAAAAAAAAAATCCTCAGAGGTTAAAATCTCAGCTTTTTATCATAACTCTCTAATACTTCAATACAGCTGTCCAGAAGTGTAATGCTAATAAATAAAACCATTCAGGGAAAGAGGTGTTATGGCATATTCTAAAGTACTTCTTCAGAGTCCCAAGAAATGTCTGAGATTCTGAACTTTCTCAGTAGAAAGAAGCTGATGAAATCCCATCATTATTGCCCATGGCAAGTCTGTGTTTTACCCCAATTCTACCTGCTGCGTACAACTCAGGCTTGCAGTGACTTTACATGGAGAGTTGGAGATGTGGAAGAAATACAGAATTATGCCAGCTTTTTTCTGTAAAGAAAATTCATAGCTATGTTATCAAAGTTTCTAATTATAAAATTTCTTTAATATTTTATTAATAGGAGGAGAGGGAAGATGCCAAAACTTATGGCATTTCACAAGTAAGATTATGGGTTGATTTCTGATTGGATGACAGGGCCCTAATAATAAAACTCATAATTTTATACTACATTCATCTGGTGATGATAGAAGTTCTTTGTGCATAATAGCACCATTTCTATTCAGGAATCTTGTTAACAGTTGTAAACTCAGATTATCATTTTTATTAGCCTAGTGTTTTCTTATTTCTGTGTTACTGACAGGAAATTACAGCAAGTTTTCTGGCTTGCTTTTTTTTGTTGTAATGAAAGCAATTCCATTCAGCTAGAAATTTCCAAGCATTGGGTAGAAGACAGTATTGCTAGAAGCCAACAGCAATTTCAAGTGTACAGATTAATTAAATATATGTATATTTAAAGATTAAATTCAAAGAGAAAGTAGACTGGTCAATTGGGTTAGGGTGGGGCTGGGGTTTAAAGGTACAGATATCTGGCTTTATATACTTTATGTCTTTAAGAACAAATTCTTTTCACCAAACTCAGCATCTAAACTTAGCTGTACTGTTTCATGTTGCCTCATAACATTGACATCACCTCTATGACTGAATATCCCTGGCTGCATTCAGGATCTACTCCAGGCAGGCTTGCCCATTGCTGAGATGCCCAACCATGGGCAGTGGGAATCAACCACGATGGACTTCTCATGGCTTTGGGTTATTAGGAAGTTCAAATGAGAATATTGGTAGCTGTTTCACTGCATTAGACCACTTGAGCGTTGTAAAAGCACTGTTTCTAGGAGAATGTGAGACTATAGCTGCATAATTTACTGTCAGCAGCCTACAGTTTATTCATATTACATCAGATACGCTTCTAACTGTCAGTTGATACTGAGTGAATAAAAACTTATTTCCATAACAAGAACACCGAACTCAATCCTTTTCTTCTCTGGTTATAAATGGATGGGAGTTTAGGATTACAAGGGACAAAGCCTAATTTTCTGGGCCTTGCAGACCTTGGTGTTGGGACGGGGGGAGGTAAATTGTCAGGGCAAAAGCAAGATGTGGGAGCTACGATGACCTCATTTCACAAGACACCAGCGTTTTCTGCACAAGTGAAGTAAACCTTCAAAAAAGTATTGCAGTACTTGAAATTGAGGCTGAAATAGGGAGTGATGAACTTCTGCAAGTGCAGCACCCTTAACCCTGCTCCCTAACAAAGTTGCTGTGAAAGAATGTGATTTTCCATATGGCAGTGGCACATCTCTCCAGGGACACGATAGGGAGTCGGTGTTTAATCCCTGACTGCTCCTCACCTCCCTCTCCTTGTGCAACTTCGCTCCTGTGATCACATTATGCGTTTGGCAAAACAGACCTTTGAGTCTGGAAAGTCTGATGTATCAATCTGCAGATGATTAATTTCAAGACACCTCTTTTTTTTTTTTTTTTTTTTTTTTTAAATACTAAGGAAAACAGCTTTCAGTGAGTTAGAGGACTGACTCATGCTGTTTTTTTTAACTCCATTAGATTTCTCTGAAAAATCCTGTCCTATGTTCAAAAAGTTTTCCTCAGCATGTCCACAAACCTGTGAAAAACTGTAAGAGTAGTGTTTATTCTAAATACTTCAGTAAAAGTCTACACTATCCAGTCTTTAGTGTAACAACAGCTAATTGCAGTTATGAAAAGAGATCGAGTTCAGCTATCATAAGATCCAGTTCTTCTAGTACTCAGTAATTTCCTCTTAAATACAGGACAAACTCAGCCTTCCTGTTGATTTCAGTAGGTGTTGTAGCATTTAATACTTGGCAGAATTACGTCCAGAAAGCCTGAGAGAAAAATGTCACTTTATAAGTTTTATAAGAGTAAACAGACAGCAAAAGCAAAACACATCTCATTTTCTAAAAAAAAAAATAAAAATAAAATTAAAATACTAATGTATTAGTGTTAGAAAAACACTAGAAAGCAGACCTTGGAAATCAGGGGATTTGCAGGGCAGGGACTGCAACATGTATAATACAGATCTGATTGTGTCTGGCAGGTTTGTATTCATAGGAAACTATCCACATCATCAAACTCATTCTTTACAAAAGCAACACTTGGTATTTCTTCTCAAAGTTTGTCAGCTTCTTGCAATTAGCTACTACAATGATATGACAAGATATGAAGTGTAACATCCCTTCCCCCCTTCTCCAGAAGAACAATGCAAAGGACAGCAAGAACTTTACCCAGCACTGGACAACAATAAATCCTGGATTCAGTGACCCCACTTAATGCAAGCTGAAAAATATTTATTTATTTTTTAAAAAGTTTCAGTGTTGCACTTCTCTACCTAGTAAACAGCTGAAGAGGCAGAATGATACCCAAGACCATCTCCTCCACCCCCATCTCCACCCCCGTCGTATCAGAGCTTCAGGCAACATTCGGAAAAAAAAAATCACAGACACAAAACCCCCAACTCAAGTATCTTTTCTGATAGGAGCATAGAACAGTAACCAAAAAACAATCAAGTCCTCATTGTCATAGTGCGACAATCACAGCACCGCTTCTGTTGAGAAAATAGTCAATTCACAGAGAGAAAAGCATCATGAGGACAGACACGAAAGCTGTTATTATCCATTTTAAGTAATAGGAGAAGGTCACATATCAAGCAGTTACACCTTTTCATTACATCCTAACCTTCCACAGCAGGGGAACCACACTTATGACTGCATTAGATATACAAAAGCTTTCAGCTCCAAAAAAGGAAAAGAAAAGATGGGGAAGGGAAAAAAAAAAGAAATAAATTCATCTTACCAGCACGTTGCAGCACCAACTTGCTTGAAGGAATGTTGCCTTTACAGGTTTCTCTTTTAATTATCCTGGAAGCAGAAGGGGGAAAAAAAAGAAGACGTTGAAGCAGGGTTGTTAAATTAGCGTGTGCTAGAATCTTTTCAGTTTGTCGCAGAGTAGAAAAATACCCCCCCCCCCCCAAAAAAAAAAAAAAAGACACGCAAAGAAAGAAAGAAAAAAAAAAGAAAAAGAAAGCTCAGTAATTTAAATTTGCTGTCAGTTCAGGCAGCATCGCTCTGTCCCGCCCCTCTTCCCACTGGGTTCTACTACCTGCAGGGCTGCAACTGACAGCTACTGTGCAAACAAAAAAAAAGGCAAAAAGCATGCTGGGACCATGCTGTCTGCTGTCTGAGTCTCTCTCCACTTCTGATGACTGAAAATCATTAGTGGAAAGGTTCTGTTGTTGTTTGCTGGGATTTTTAAGTTGGGTGCTTTGCATGAAATTTAATTTATTTTTAATTGATACGACGCAGCACGTGACAGAAACTGGTGGTTGTGTTTCTCAGCTCTGCTCAGAATGGAAACTAACCTGAACAGATTGATTTTAACAGTATGGTATATGTAGAATATATACAGACATGTGCCATGTTGCACTTTGCAGGCATGCATTCAGCCCTTCCTGGAATACTGTGTACAGAAATGTTTGTTTGAATGGAAAGTGGGGAAAGCGTTTCCACAGAAAGCAGTAAAAACTCTGGCACTCAAAGAAGTTGCCAGTATTGGTTTTGCTCTGCTTTTAAGTTTTCCTTCTAAACTTTTTCAAATCATTTGTGAGAACAGAAAGTAACAGAAGTCAGAGGCATACGAGCAACTGCCACAACAATCATGTAAAAAAGACGAACTAACAATCATAGTACATAAAAAGCTATGCTTTTAGCCAGATGTTTAAAACCATTTTTGAAAGTCTGTGCTAGCGACTATTAGCAGACTGCATACATCATATGAATGTGAAATATTTGATGAAAACTAACAAAAAAACAAGTACAAATGCTATAAATGCCTTTGTAGCTATTTTAATTGTTGCTAACAGCCTTTTAGCAACAGGGCTAAAATCATCCTTCCAAAACAAAGAGGAGCATAATATATAACTTCTAACTATAAATGTATTCACCAAAATATGGTTCCCACCTAATTATAAAATAAAATTAAAAGAGTGAAATGATGCTTTTCCTTAATACTTTAGTAGTAATTGTTTGGATCATACCACAGTAAATATGCAACATTTGTATCCAGTTACTGTTCTACTTATGTGTGCAGCCATAAAATAAAAAGCTGAAATGTTTAAACTTAATTAAATTAATCTCTGTTTCACTCGAAGTTTGCCATTTGCACAGGAAGAGACACCTGCATGCTGAACATGCCTGCCATAGACAATTGGCTTTTAAATAGTTTTTAAAAAACTCTGGAGAAACTAATTGCTACTATGCCAGCATCCCTTCTGCAGCCTTTACTCATTGAAGTAGATCTGATAGGGTGACTTCTGCCACCAGGAATTGCACAACAGGGCTCAAGGTGTAGCATCTGCCCTACAGCCCCCATAAGGCTCATGAACAAACAGCCATGTTAAATTGATGCCACAGTCAAATTTTAAGTTGCTTTTCTTCTCTTTTAAAGTCTCCAGACCCTTTTAACAGGTGACCACCTGAGGCCATTTCTACAGACGGTAGAGATCTCCCACCATTTCAGAGATGAGATTTAAATTGGCATGGCCGAGAACCATCTCTTTGCAGAGTTCACCAAGATCTCTTAGCAGGCTCATGCTGTCTACAAGAATTTTTGATATCCTCTGTGGGTTCAGTCTCAGTATAGAGGGAAAAGACAGTACAGACAGTTGTCTTCACAATGAAAATACAAATACATAAGGACAGTGAACATAATTCAGAAGAGGAGTAACAGTAGATTCCCCAAGTAGTCACAGCAAAAATGCAGCATTTTTCAGCTAGAATTTGCTCTCATTTACACTCGTGGCTTTAAAGCCCTATTTTTATGCTAGTAAAATGCTTTAGTATACATTTTCATCCAAATTCAGTTTCTCCTGGCTCTCTGTCCTTTGTCTCTACTGCCAGACTTTCCTTCTTTTTGCTCCTTGTTAAGAACAAAAAATGGAAAATGCTAAAAAAAAAAAAAAAAAAAAAAGAAGTATTCTTGATGATTTGACAGCATTTAATCCTTATTTTGGTATCTTCATGCACGCATAAATACACAGGCACACATGCATGCATATGTTCAGTTTTAAAATTCTGTTACATCTAACTAACTTATTATCCTTCTATATATCCTTGCAAAAGTCAAGGGTGACCTGTTTTTAATGCACTTGGCATTTTAAGCAAGGCACTCAGACCTTCAAAAGACCAATAATTGAACTTTGCCTTTAATGGAATACAGTAGTGCACTAAATAACAAAAACTAAAAAAGCTAGATTTAGCAAGGAGATACAGTCAAGAAGGCAATTTGACTAATTGGTTGAGAAAATGCAGAAGAGCTCATAAAATCAAACATTTATAGAAAACCCTCACTTGTGTTATTATCTTGAAATAAAAATAATGGTAAAGCTGTTAATATCAACATTTTCTCCTGTAATGTAGGACACTACAGGACACAAGAACAAACACGGAGGTGTTCCGAAGAGCAGAGTCTGATTTAATTCAGTGGAAGCTTCATTCATTTTAGGGTTTTAGTGATGCTGCATGTTACCTTTAACCATTCAGTGTCTCTGTTAAAATCTGATTTTGTTTAAGGGTCATAGGCTTTGGACTGTAGCAGTAGGTTAGGTAGTATAGGAAAGATAATACTTTTTTTGTAGTTCTATAGTCAGTTTTAATGAATCAGTTAAATTAAAGAAGCAGTAATTAATGGAGGTTTCCTACTATATAATACAAAAGAAAGTATCTAATTAACCTTTGTATCCCTTACAAAACACTATCAAGTGAAGCATTTTCTGGTCTTACTTTAGTCAGGAACTTTTGCTTTTAACTTCAATAGAGTGCTTATTGACTGTTCAGTGTTTTGTTTTGTTTTGTTTTTTTTTTCACAAGTTTCCAAGTCATTGACCATCAAGCATTAGTTCCTATAAACATTGATAACATTAACCATTTTATAAATTTCCATTCCTTTAAAAGAACAAAACAAAACAAAACAAAACCAAACAAAACCATGACACACCAAACCTTCAAAATCCCTTCTTGCACTATGTCTAAATAGACTGCTATACTGTGATGGGAAAAGTGTTGAAGAAGCACTTTTAACCTAGAATGAGATTAGTCCGGGTATTAAAATGAAGACTTGTAAACTTGGCAAATGCCAAACAAGACCAGAAAGACCCCTTTCCTCCTCTTGTAAAGTCTTTCTTCATAGCCACATCTATCTAAATGGGCTTACTTCAAATAAATAAAACCCTGTGCCTTCCTGCCCCTTAGAAGGGGTTCAGTCAGCTATATTGGGACCCTTGGCATATGTAAAGGGAATTTAGGGAAGGTGTGCATTATACAGCTGAGAGATATAAATGTGATTTTGTGTAAACAACCAACTGTTATAAGGAGACTTGGGAATAAACATGGGCCATACAGCCAGCCATGACTTTCAACATTCAGTAGTCACACATCTTATGATATGTATTAATTATGTCAATGTAATGTCCAGCCTTCTGTGTCTTCATGTACCATATTTCTTTGTGTACAAACTAAGACTTTTGTTACCCTAATTGCTTCCTCCTGCAGCTTTAAATTGAGGGTGTCTTTCTCATACATTTAATTACTTTCCCCTGCAGCTTGCAAGGAAAATGTAGTTGAAGGTGGCTTCTAAACCAAGATATACTGTAATTAAAAGCTCTTTTAAAGAGAGCTTTTTTGTACAGCACCTGCTGTTAATGGAGTACTTTGTGTACAGTTCTGTGTAGTCTTTGAATCCAGTGCATTATTTCAGAAGTAGTGTGTTGTTGGAGGATATCTACATTGATGTGGTGACCTATATATATTAATTATCTTATGCAGAAAAAAAAAAAAAAAACCACCAGGAAGATTCTCCTTCCCCCAGCAAAATCCAGCCCATAAAAATGGTTTAGTAAAGTGAAAAGTAAGGCTGGAAATCTCTGAATGTCTTGTGGATAACAATCACTTAATTTTGTGGGGTTTTTTTTTGTTTTTTTTTTTCAGCTTAAAAAAATGGCTTGTTACAATTTCCATTAAAAGATTATAATTTTATAATGTGCAGTTTCTCTTGCCAAGATTTCTTACTGAGAAAGAAAAAATTGTGTATCTTATGTGATTTAATAAATGATGGTTACACATCTTAGTCCTTCCCTGTTGCCTTGCCTGTGGTTGAATCCATATTTCATACCTGTGTTGCTGTCCCCTCAGTACATCCTGCTGTCTTGCAATCAAAGGGGGCTAACTTAAAAAGATATCTCTATGGAATTTGGTGTCTTGATAAATTAATCCATCCTTGTGTGTAAGCCTTCCAAATGCTCATGTCCTAACAATAGTTTGTGGGGTGAAAATAAAGCCTTAAGACAAGAAAGACAGATGCTGTATATAAGTTCCCACTCTTTTCACAGGAAAAATAATGTGGAAGATAAAGGTGCCAACTCTATTCACAGTGTATTTTGGGGTTTTCTTTGATGTTTGGTTGCATTCAATGGGATGTTAACTGGTGATTTGATGGAAACTTCTACATGCTAAAACTGGAAATAGTTGAGCAGAGAAAGAAAATTACTCAGCAATTTTGTAATGTTGCAATAACAGCCTTGGCTCTGAGGTGAAAGGGGTTGTTTTCCATGGTGGTGTAAATATGTAAGGAGAGAAAATAACCAGATTCTCCTTACCAATATAAAGTTCAGGTGTTCCTAGCTGACTCTTAAGGAATTTTCTTCTTAACAGCCTCAGAGCATAAAGGGACCTATTAATTGTCTCAGGAAATATTTGGATACTTCTCATTGCTATAGACAGAATGGGTAAAAGAATAAAAAAGACATCTACTATGTCCATTATGAGAAAGTCACCACCAAAACTGTATAGGAGCTACTTATCTTGTATTTAGGAAATGCCACAATAAATCAGACAGCAATAAGCCTTATATATTTTAATGGAGGTCACCACAAATGTATTTTATTTTTTGTCTGATACATAACTTCATATACATCCAGCATGTGCTCCTCAGAAGAAAACCTTCCAGACACACTCAAGTGTATTTTCACAATACACACTGATGAATAATTAATCCTTCCACTAACACTGACTTATTGTTA